TGCCAACATTTCGGGATAATAGTTATTTATTATACAATGGAAAAAACTACTAGATTTAAGGCGGCTCCGACGCAGTCAGTTTCAAGCCATTTACAAGGGTTTAGCTGCTTCGAAACTGACACTCCATTTTTCAATACTTATGAATGAAATTCATACAGTATGTTCAGAAGAAAATTGGCCAGGGTGCTATAGGAGCACTTTTTGAAATTTTGTTTCTGCACAAGTTTTATGATGGGTTGAAGTGAACACTTTTTCTGTTCAACTTCGCCAATTTTTTGAAAAAGAATCGAGTGAAAAAATGCAAGAATTATGGTGGGTTGAAATGCTTACTACTTGTGCTCCACTTCTTGATATTTTAAAAAGATCCTAGTGGATCGTTAGCATCCTGTGGACTTTGTTTTTAGCACGCTGCAAGAGTTTAACTTGAAAATAATAAAAAATGAAACGTATGCTGTGAAGTACAAATCGGTTTTTGGGCGAAATTCGTCTACTGCTTCGTCCTGCCAGTCCAAGCGACGCGACGGTGCGCTCCGACTAAGAAAAAATGTATTCAAATAATTTGATATATTTAGTATAATAAATTCAAGAACTCAAATTCATATTCGTTTATTCATGTCAATAAACACAATTATGTTTACAAGGGTCATGTTGTACATGGTAACAATTGCACGAAGGTCATAAAAATATCTTATGCCGTCAAAATAAGAGGAAACCGTTAGGTAGTTTCTGCAAAGCAATAAACAGGTAGGCTTATACCTGGATTAAGTACATTTCTTGTCTAGGTAGATGAAGGCGATGCTGCCAGAAATGGATTTGTGCATTCAATAAACAAACCATAAGATTGAACTTCCGTGTCCAGTGATTTGTGTATTGCCTTTTTTATAGCCTTACTAGAAAACTCTGTTGGGTATATGATGGAGTTTACTAGAACTTTACAGCTTGTTGGCTGCCTTCTTCTACAAAATTCACCAAATCAAAACGCTGTCAACCTGGATACAGAAACAAGAATTCAAAGTGATGAGGCTCAGGTTCATGATATTTTAGAACTTGCTGACTGCTACACCCAAGGTACACAATTCAAGGTAATTCGTCTGCGCAAGTACACGGATCAGTCTAGCAGGCCTTTCAAGGTCGTGTTTGGCTTTGAGAACATGGTTCACAGCATTTTGAAGAAGTCCAAGAATATAAGAGGTAACAACAGATTCAAAAAGATTATTGTTTCATATGAAAGAGCACCAAAGCAAATTGAACAGTATCGACACGTCAAGGCTGAACTTGATGAGCGGTTAAGTAGAGGTGAAAAGAACCTGAAGATCAAGCATGCTGGTGGATGTCCTACAATAGTTACTGTAAACTAAATCGTGCACCTGATTGCAGTAGTGATGCTAGTGATACTAGCTGTAAACGTCTATCGATATCAAGTTACGATCAAAAGGTGCGAGGTCTCAACTCGAAGGTAACTCCTTTTTATAATGCTATAATGACTGTGAATTCGATTTTATTTGTTTGAGTGAAACTTGGCTTTCTGACAACATTATGAATGGCGAATTATTCCCATCGGATTAGATCGTATTTAGATGTGATCGAAAATTCAGTATTACTAATCTGTCTTTGGGTGGTGGTACCTTGATAGCTATAAAAAATACTTTCAACTTTAATGCCGTGGATGTATCTGAATCTGATTCTGCTTTTATAATATGCACTGTTTACATTCCACCGTCTGTAACTACAGGAGATTTTGAGCTTTATTTAGATGCATTAGAGTCTTTGATTCAGAGCTTTCGATCATTCAATATCATCATATGTCGCGATTTTAATGTACCTGGTTTCAACAGTTCCATGAATGCAAAACTCAGTATTTGACTGATTTCTGTTCTTTTGAAAATTTAAGCAATTTCAATGATATTGTCAATCATCAGGGAAGGTTGCTTAACTTGGTACTATCTACTACAAATTTAACTGTAGAGAAGGTCCTCTCTTTGTCAATGAAAATCTGTATCATCCTGCTCTGTATTTTGAATTTTTTGGTCGCAACATTACACATATCTTTGAATTGAATAATTACACCCGATACAATTTTCGTCGAGCAAACTTTCCTAAATTATACAGTGCCCTTGCAACCATAAATTGGTTAAATTTAGAGTATGTGAATGATGTTAACAAAGGTTGTGATATATTACATAATAACATTTATCATGTTTTCGATGAAAATGTACCTAAATTTTGCTATAAATCTCGTAAGTTTCCTACATGATTTACTAGGGATATCAAGAGAAATTTGAGAAATTGAGCCAGGAATAATTATAAACGTACAGGCGATAACTATTATAATGACAAATTGAAAGCATTACGATCCACAATTGAAACCCAGATTAATACCGCCTATTCAGCTTATTTACAAAACACTGAGGCCAATATAATTCAAGATCCGAAAAAGTTCTGGATTTATTAGTGCCAAAAAAGGTATGTCAAGGATTCCTGGTAGTATGTCGCTCAATGACCACATATATGATTCGCCTCGATAAATTGTAGATGGCTTTGCTCCATTTTTTTCTAGCGTGTTACACGATAACTGAAAATGCCATTCGTGCAGCTAGGAAATTAAAGAATAAGATGACCTCCGGATTGGACAATATTCCTAGCTTCATAGTCAAAGATTGCATTCACGCTCTTGCTAGACTACTTTCTGTTATTTTCAATCTGATGGTACGCACTTGTTGTTTTCCGCAAATGTGGAAGATGTCTAAAGTATGCTCTGTTTTCAAAAGCGGTAATACATCTGATATGACGAACTACCACCAGATTGTCATTTTGTGTAATTTTAGCAAATTATTCGAGATAATTATTTATGAGCATATTTATAATTTTTTCAGGCCCCATATCGCTGAATTTCAACATGGATTTGTTTCTAGGCGGTCAACAACATCTAATTTAGCTTGTTTTACCCAGTTTGTTGCCAAGACTCTGGATCAACAAACCCAAACTGATGTAGTTTATGCAGAGATACAGAAAGCCTTTGACCGAGTCAATCATCCCTTATTACTACATAAATTATTAATATTAGGATTCTCTACTCTCGCTCCTCCAGTCATATCTTTCGGACAGAACACCATTTGTAGAATATGGTGGTTACAAGTCTAACATAGCTACTTCAGGAGTTCCCCAGTGGTCTAACTTGGCACCTTTATTGTTTTTAATACTTATTAATGATTTGTCGCTTGAGATTAAATGTCATCATTTATTTTTTGCTGATGATTTAAAAATTTATAATACTATCGTAACTTCCGAAGACTGTCATTTTCTTCAAAATAACTTGGAAGTTATCAATTCATGGTGTTCCAAAAACCTCCTCACACTAAATGTGTCAAAATGTAAAGTAGTAACATATTTCAGAAAACGGAATGTTATGCTTTATGATGACAGTATTAATCAGGTAAGATTAGAAAGGAGTAACAGTACTGTGTTAGAAATTCTTCAGGTTTCTCGAACGTTGAAACGCTCAAGCTTCTATATCTAGCATACGTCAGAAGCAAGCTTTGATCCATCTTAGCGATAATCGAGGTTGGACTAAGCTTAGAACGCAAATGTATTTGGACCACATAGACAGGCCGCTGGGTATTGTGGCTCACTACATCTGCAGCACATCTTCCATGGTATGACCTATTCTTGCAATCATTTATTCGCTGACTACCCAATGTATTTTGCGATTATAAAGTTGAACTGCTCCACACTATTGTTGACCTCATCATGAATTAAACTCACTGCATTCGTAATTAAAATGGTCGCATATGACCTTTTATTGTCCATTATCGACCTTGATAAAAAAGGCACTCAAGAACAATCACACTAACAAGAGTACAGATCGCATATGACCCTTTATTGTCCAATATCGACCTTGATAAAAAAGCACAACAATTTAACAACACAATATCGAAAAACAGTAACAAGGGGAGAAAAATACTAAATGATCACCTGCTGACTACCAAAATAGGAAACGATTTACAGGCTAGATCGCTAATCAAAATCCGACTCTGTTATTATAAAAATTTACCTTGTATGCACGCGCAGTCATCCTTTCCTCTTTTAAAGTAGCGCCAACGACCGTCTAGGGCCAGCCCACCCTCGTTTCCTTTTCAGCCCCCCGTTACCTCAGCAGATGGTGCTCGTGATTGTAGGAGCCCCGTTAAGGTTGTATTGTCTTTCTCCGCTGCGCGTCAAAAAACCGAAATCTAGTATCTAGTATTTTTCTCATGTTTAATACACAATTTTTTTTTGTGACGGGAAAAACGACGACTAAATATTGAAAAATTATATTATGAAAATATCTAAGTCAGGAAATTATTGATGTGAAATTTGAATCTTGAAATTAGTAGGCTATGTTGTACTTATAGCGACAATCCCCGGGGAGAAAATGAGTACTTTTTTCCCGGATATTGTATAAACGATTTAGCTGGCAATACTTTTTGTGACGCTACTATGGCTATTTCTACTACTTCCGGTGTAGTGAAAGAACGGAATTAGACATTTTTCATCTTATAGTATTAAAAATAACTTCTAAACAACCACTAAGTTCACAATTTTTCAATCAAGTCATAAAATTAAATTGACAGCTATTTGATTACTTTAAAAGTTTCCTTAGCAACGCAGGTCTAATTGTCGCTATAAGTACAACAGCCTAATAATTTCAAAATCCAAATTTCACATCTATACTTTTCTGACTTAAATATTGTAATACGAGGGGTATGCTGTATCTTTTAAGATATGCATTGACTATTCTAGCTAAAACCGGCAAGCGTGCACTATCAGAAAGAGCAGTCCTTTATTAGTACGTCGCCGTGTTCAGTTCACTTGCAAGCGTCTTACAGTGCACGTGGTGTAAACAAATTTAAGATGAAACATGGAGTTGTCTCGAGACAGTTATCGCGCTATGATTTACCATGACCTTAAAGTCGGTTTAACTCAACATCAATGAATCGAACGGTTACAACAGGCATTTGGAAATGAAGCTCCATCCCGGGCAAGTGTGTTGCGCTGGTATGCCGAATTTAAAAGAAGGCGTGTTTCATTGGCTTATGAAGAACGTAGTGGTAGGCCATGTTCTAGTGTGACTCCAGAAAACATTGCTAAAGCTCAGCGGCTAATTGAAGAAGATTCTCCCTGCACATATGCGACTATAGAGGCAACTCTTTTTGTGGGATCTGCAACAGTGCACACCATTTTGCAGGATCATCTTCATTCCAAAAAAGGTTTTGCAGAGATACAATCCTGCATCACGATAATGCATCTAGCCACACTGCCTAACTAACTGTAGACTTTTTATGCCAGCGAAGCATCAAAATGCTAGGAAATCCGCCTTATTCGCCAGATTTATCAATGTGTGACTTCTGGCTCTTTAAGAATTTGAACAAAAATCTGCGTGGTCGAAAATTTTCGTCCGAAGAAGAAATCGATCAAGCAATTAATCACATTACTGAAGGCATTCCAAAAACTGACTGGTTAGAAGCATTTCATTTGAAGAAGGTCAGGTTACAGAAGTGCATTGATGCAGTAGCAGAATACTTTAAACATAAATAAACTAGTTGTTGAAAAATAGTTTTTAGTTTTCGTGTATCGCAAAGTATATGGCGTGACCCTCGTAATATAATTTATTATTTTTCAATATTAAATCGTCGTTTTTCCCGTCACAGAAACAAATTGTGTATTATACACATTCCCTTGTATGATAAATATTATTATTATTAAGTAAGATATAACCTACATATTGTCATCAGAATAAATTGTCTTTTGTACTAACCTATCGTCGTGACCGAAACGTCGTGTCAGTAAATATTAATTCAATCATAGGGATGTGTTTTCATTTAGCGGCCGGACAAATATGGACGATCAACTTCAAGACTATGACTGACTTGATAGCAAACAACATAAAAACATAATATCTCACATGTATCGTCAGAACAGAGAAAATATCTAGAAAACATAACTATACAGGTGAGAATGAAATTAAGTAGCTCGCCAAAATAAACGTTTTTCAATTAGTAATCAAAATCAGTCTGGGACGATCCAGTCCACTATTGTCAACAATCAGAAATTATCACTTGCTAATCAACTGTTTACGTCAAATAGACGTCAAACCGTATTAAACAATATAACTACATAGCCTGCATTAACCAGAGCTAAACAACTATGATCTATAATGGACTCTCATTTATGCTTGAGGAGCTAATTTGACACTACTGTTACCGATGAATAGCTAGCTCTGTTCTGTTAAACGAAGGCATTACGGCTTAGCCTAAGAAACACAAGTTGAATTCGATAGTAGGAGTATAGCGGACTTGAGGCTTCAGAAACCCCAGTAAGGTATTCCAAGTGTTGGTAGCTTTGTCTGGGGATGCTTCGGTCAACATAAAGCAGTAAATATTTTCAAAAACAAATAAACCTTATTGCTTTACTTCTTGGGCATTTCGTATGACGCGAAACTATACTAAAAAATAAGTAGCATGCAAAACGTGATTGCAAACTAATGCCAATGTCAAAGGTTTATACAAAAATTAATAATGCTAAATAACTTTACATATGGATGATTGACATGCTAACTATTCGTGATGCGAACATTCTATACATACAATTTACTGAAAATGTTAGGACCTTGACATAAACCGTAATAGACAACAAAACAGGAGTTCTACCTATTTGACGTTACTCATATTTATGTTAAACCTAATTAATCTATTTCTTATTGATATGAGAATAAGTAGTATAAGTAACAATGTAGGTATGCGAGGCGCGTCAATAAGGTTACCTTGTAGGCCAGTAAATACGATTTTGACGACAGAAATTCTTTTTGAGGTATCATTGGGTTGTTACTTCCTAATGATAAGTTCAAATTGGCATCATGATAGGGGAGCATCTGTCGCCATTTTGATAAACGCGGAATCTGGGAAACATCAATCCTATGTGATAAAAAAATAATAGAAACAGTTTTGTAGGAAAATACATTTTTTACCATTTCGTTGCTATAAAAATTCAACAGATTACGAGAAATTTAAGGGTAAACGTGCATCTGATGATATTTTCATTTAGAATGGCAAAACAATCTGGGCATTTAAAGACTACTATTCACCTTTGTAGAGAATAAAACATTCTACGAAAAAGGCCATTTAACGTTTTTTCAACACCTTGATGGTCCCGCAAGTGTAATTTTTTATTATGAAGCAATCGAAAGTTAAAAATTAATATGAAAACAGTTACGCGACAGAGTCGGTACTCTACGTAAGTTGCTGAAGTTTCGAAGGTCAGTAGATCTGATACGCTTGGTAACACAGACAGCAGACAAAATTAGGCAGAAAAATGGCGTCGAGTAGGTCGGAACTGCACTTCCTTCGCAACACCGTCATCAGTTCATAAGATTAAGTTCAGCACAAGTTAAACCCTCTTAGAGAAAAGTTAGTTAGAAACATGTACAATAGAAAAATTGAATAGACCAAGTCAGTCAAACAGGCCCATACAATTAGTCCATAGACATTATTTCCCTAGCCAGCGGTAGTCACCGGGAAGCTTAAAACGGTATGGAATTTTTTATTGTACTTGCTGGAACAAATACACCCAACAAATTATTACTTAGGCATCACTGACGAAATGCTATTGAGGCATGGGTTGGAAGGTTGAGCTTCTACCCTCAGAATATTTTTGGACCAAATCTGTGTTCCGGTCACAGAGACCTCTAGTTGTTAGTAAAATAATCAATGTCCCCAAGAATAAGTAATCAAACTTACTTTGCAACCATTGTCAATCTTAGGCACGACCTAGAGACCCAATAGACTACACAAATGTTAATGAAGCTGATGAAACTGGGCCTTGACACGTTTGTGCCTATTTATATTTCCCCTAAGCATATGTTTTATCGTCATTTATATAGCATATGTTATAATCCATTAGCTGAATAGATGATAACAGATAAAAATTGCATATGGGAAGCTTATCACCCTACTTGGCGGTAACAAAAGTACTTCCATTTAGGATAATATCCATGTTGCCCAATCTTGATATCTGATTCATATTTTTATCACAAGCTATCGCTCAACTTAACCTGTTTGTTAGAAAGTTAGTATATTTATTAAGGACAAATTATGAAACTGAATTTTGAACAATTTGAGCTAAAATTTTACATGATGTACGCTTGGTTTGCGTTGCAATACAAAATGAATTGAATGCCGCAAGTTTGAATCCAATATAATATGGTCGATGAAACAAAATGGCGATGTATCACTTCTACGATAACTCCTATGGTATGGCAATCAAATGAAAAGTCTTGATGAGAGAAATACAATGAGTAAAATTCATTCTAAATCCAATATGGCGGCCGTTGCAAAATGACGATTTGCACGTTCTTTAGGTTTTAACCGTGGTTCCGTCTTTTGCGTAATTTCTGACCTCCCCTCGTATTCTCGTTTTGTCGATGAAGCTAAACTTTTGATTCATTGTCAATTAATAGTTTTGATACGGTTAAATTAGAGACGGTGCCCTGTTGCAAATATGATTTTTATGAACTGAGCAACTATCCTCCATCCAGAGTATGAGGTCGATCGAAATAAGATAGCACAAAGTGACACCTATTACCCAAATCGACCACCAAGAGAGTAAAAACAGCAAGACGTCTGCTTGAACTGTATAGCAGTCCGGTCACCAAGTGGTCGCTAGATCCAGCCTATTCTAGTGCAACAGGAGTGACTATACATAGAAATTATGAATCCCGATGCTGCGATAGCCGCCATATTGGATTCAGAATGACATCGCGTTACATGTAACGTTTCTCTCAATAAGCCCGTTAATTTGACACCTATATTATAAGGGTGATTATGACAATCAGCAACACCATCTTAAGGTGGGTCCAGACATGCAACAAAACACCGTATCGTAACAGCACTGCGTAACAAGTGTAGACGTTGAAGCGTATCAACGTAACCCCGCAACATAGTAACATCGAGGCGTCCCACGAGATGTCGGTATTTTGGTGTCGCATCAAAGGAACGATACGCGCTGATGTTGCACCACTGGATTGCAGGTTTGGACTGGTCTGCGTAACAAAGGTGCGATCTACTTTGTTTCTGTGTTTTGAGTAATACTGACAGGTTTATTATGGAGTGGACTGAAGAAGTAACGATTAAATTCATTAACAGTTATAGAAGCAAAGAAATTTTGTGGGATCCACAAAATTCCCAGTATTATAATAAAATAAAGAAAAACGATTCTTGGAATGAGCTCGCTGTAGAATTTAAAACCACGATAGATGAATGCAAAAAGAAAATGAATGTGTTATTGTCGGCATTTAGGCGAGAAAAAGCAAAAATTAAAAAAAGCAAAGGCACAGGAACAGATAAATGTGAATAATTACATTATATTTTTTATTTATGTATTTTATTTACTTATTAACATATCGAACATATTATATTCATTGCAGGTCGTTCTGATGTGTATGAAAGTAGTTGGTTTGCTTTCGAAAGCTTGCTGTTTCTTTGGGACAAAAATGAAGTTCGACAGACAAAAAGTACCGTAAGTATTGTGTTACGCATAATTATCTTGATACACAAGTGGATCTTCATTTTGAAAGTATAGTGCCAATTCGTCTCTGATTATTTTCGCGTTATCAGTTGGTTTTTGGGGAATATTTTTAAGTGGCAATAGAGAAGACATTGTTTCATTTGTTGCTCTTGGTAAAGGTGATTTGGTATCGAACATGTCATGTGGCATATACAAAGTAGAAGATGTAGATCTTTTTCTCAAGAAGTTATGTAGATGAGCTATTGCCATTACAATTATTTCAGCTTTTGCGGGTTCAAGTAACATGGGTTTACGGAGTACTCGAAAAACGGCCGAAGCAATACCAAACACATTTTCTACAGTTCTTCGAGCACGAGATAATCTATAGTTGAATATTCTTTGTATGGATCCTTTGAGATGCGTTCCCGAAAACGGTTTCATTAGCGAATCAGTGAATGCAAATGCCTCGTCTCCGATGAAAAAATAAGGAATTTTCCGTTGCATGTCTTTTAAAGTTTCTGGTTCAGGAAAATTCAACTGATTTTTCACTAGTTTTTTGTAAAGTGAACAATCTTTAAAGATGCCACCATCTGAAATTCGCCCTTGGCCACCAGCATTGACGTACAAAAAATTATAATTAGCATCCACTAAGGCGAAAAGAACAACGCTGAACGTAGATCTGTAGTTGAAAAATTCGCTTCCAGTGTTGCATGGTGCTTGAATAACCACATGCTTTCCATCTAAAGCTCCAAGGCAATGCGAAAAATTCCAGGTTTTTTCAAATTGCTTTGCCACGTCCAGCCATGATTCTGGTGTTGTCGGTATCTGCAACAATTAGAACAAATTGTGTCATGAGAAATTACGCGATATGCCCACAAATAACTGATATCTTTATTTTCTATCGCAATGTGAATATTCTTGTAAATGACTAGGACTACTATTTAATTACAGATTGAAGACGAAGAAACAGATGATAATGAGGTATCTGATGGTGAATCAACATTGACAGATAACGACGCTGTGAAGGAGACTCAGGAGGTTATACATAATAGACCGAAAAGAAAATTGACGGATGTAACACCAATTAGAAAACAGCAAAGAAAAAGTGAAGATTCTGATAAATTAGATAGAGCTTTTCAGATACTGTCAAAAGCATCAGCAAACGCCAATAACCCAGAAGGACACTACGAATGTCAGATATTTGGAAATCTTGTGGCTAAAAAATTGGCTAAATATTCGCCTGAATTGCAGACCAATACACAACAAGCGATTATGAATATTTTATTTAAAGCAGACAGCATCCATATTCGCCAAAATTCAAGCAATTGCCAATCCCCACCACAACGTACTGACACTATTCACTCATTTTTTTCGAATTATCAGGCTAACCAAGAATCCTGTTTTAATCAAGAGCCATCACAGTTGTCATCTCCAACATATAGTTATGGTAATTCAAATCCCTCGACCTCGAGTGACAATAATACTCCTCTTCCTCCTTCTTTGCCACACGAGTTATTGGATATGTCCCACATTGAACTACAGAGCTTGTAGTTAGTGCAAATGTTTAATGTGAGCAACAGTTTATTTAATGTAAGCAATATTTTGTTTAAAATATAGAGTTATTGTGTCAAACCTTTATTTTTTTACCTGTATATTGTCATGTAATCCTTCTATTATTGCTTCACACACTTCAGGAACTATAGTGCTTATAGATTGCTTAGATATTTTAAAGAGGTACTGAAGACTTGTGAAGGAATCACCAGTCGCCAAAAATCGAAGCGTAACTGCCAATCTGTCTTGTACAGAAATTGCCTTTCTCCAGCTGGTATCTTTTCGTAATATTTTGGGTCCAATCAAATTAATCAAATATTCAAAGTCTGTTGCGGACATTCTGGTGAAATTTTTGTAGAGGCCGCTCATTTTCAAGTCTATGAGCAAATTACTTCCACTGTACACATTTCTTTTTACGAACAACTGCCTCTGCCAAAAACGTTTTTCTCTTCGCTTTTTTTGATTCTTCTTAACATAATAATGCATGAATATATAGGCAGCAGCGGCGACTTCCATTATAAACGCACTAGGAAAAACGGAACGACAGAATGTTCTGCTTTGAAGATACGCGATGGTATGAAAAAAAGTACACACCGTGACTTAGACGCGTAACACATAGTTGTTGCGGGACGGTGTTATTACACGGCGTTTTGTTGCATGTCTGGACCCACCTTTAACGGTCGCCATGCAGGATTTGTAATTACTTCACAATGCTTATTATGTTTCTCTCATCAAGCCCTTTCATTTAATACCCAAGTCGTTGGGGTGACTATGAAATATCTAAGCCCCCATTTTGCCGCGGCTGCCGTATTGGATTCAGAATCAGGTCACTTTGCTTATTGTGTTTGTCTTATCAAGTCTTTTCATTTGGTTCCCATGTCATAGAGTTTACTATGGAAATGATGGATCACCATCTTGTAGCATCTGCCATATTTGATTCAAAGTGGCAATAGTTAGTTCATGTTGTATTTTCAAGCACACCAAACGTATGTACAGGGTGGTCAACTAAGAATGCGAGGTACTGTATCTAGAAACCTATCCATCGTAGAGATTTGCGGCAAAAACAGTTATTACTAAAACGGTCAAGAGAAAAACGTGGAGAACATTTTCAAGTTTCTAAAATGACTGCTGGGGGGCGGGACTGCAATATTGAATCTAAAAAAGTGAATTCCGCTATATTAACCTAAAAAAAATACCTGATCTTTTAATTCAAGGATAATCTTAACTTTTTTTTGTTTTAAAATTTTTGCTGTATCTCTTCCGTACCCTGTATCTTTGAAACGGCTGATCCGGTTTTAACAAACTTTGGCTAGTTGAACAGAGCTATTCTTGGACTACAAATGTTATAATTTTTGACGTTTTGTTAGTTTTACATGTGGCCGCTAGAGGGCTTTTTTCGACATTCCGACAGAAATTGTTAAATTACTAAAAAAAACTAAATGCATTGATATGGTTTTTTTATGAAAAAGTAGCTAAATGATGTCTAAACAAGCTCGCAAAAACCGTATTTCCATATCTTGTTCGTAACCTAAAGTTTAGGATAAAGAAAATTTTACAGGGAAATCCCTTGAATTTTAATTAATTTTTCTGGAATTTCTTTTTATTATTAAGTTGTGGCCCTAAAGAGAGGTTTTTAATGCCCCGGAAAAGCTCGAAATGCTGACCATCACGCTCTTTGTATTCCTGAAACCTCTCATAGGTATGACAAAACTGCAGCTTCAGTTTCGGCTCTCGGTCTGTTACGTATTGCATTACGAATGCGGTGTTCCAAATCGTCTGAAACACGTTGTCCTTTAACCGTCCTCATAAATAAAGATCAAGACAAGTTGAGTCTGGTGATCGCGAAGCCCATGGAAACATACTTCCTCTTCCAGTCCACCGCTGCTTAAATACTGCATTAATATGCTCCAACTACAAAAACAAAGTTTTGCCGTGTTTCCAGTGGCACATCTAGCAACAACAATGGCACACAAATTGATTGTCAAAAAAGTTAAGAGAGACATTGCTATCTAGAGATTGCCTGGAAAAATATGGCCTCCCAGTATGCCATACCACACATTCAAAGTCCAACGCCCTTGGTTCTGAACTTCATGCAACCAATGTGGATTTTCTGTTGACCAACAATGCATTAAATGCTATTAAAGGTGGGTTCTATGGTACAAATACTTTGAAATAAAAATTCTCTATTTTCGCGTATCATGTCTAACATCCAAAGGCAAGCAGTCCAACTTTTCAAGGACTGATTCAAAACGACATGATATGGGTGCATTCTAAAAGTAATTAAAAAAAGTTAAATTTAAATGAATCCCTATATTTTGATGGCCATTAGATCGTACTTATGGCACTTCAAAATATTTTGAACCGTTGTTGAACTTTTTTAGCCACAAGCCTCTACGATGAACCTATCCATCCCAGATACAGTGCCTCGCATCCTTAGTTTGAAACTCTGAACATAGTTTGTAAGAGACTTGCAATGAGAACTTTAATCCTGACTACTGATTACATAATTCTGGCGAAAAAAAAAATCGGATACTTGCTCCTTCTACCTAGTCCGAATTCGTTAGATGCAACCACGAACTTATTCCTAAAACGTCAAAAACTGCCAGGCTACTAGAAAGAGCCTGGAATAGTGAGGGACTCAGATTACCACAAATTTCATTGTATACAGGTTCAGCTGAAATATTTTCAAAATGCCAGTTGTACCGGAAATAGATACCTCCTTGCTTATTCTAAATAGAACATGGCTCATTTTAATCGCCCCATATGTATCTATATCTCAGAAACTGTGCATTCTAAAGGGTAGGCCATCAGGTTTTTTTTAAGTTGGTATTATTTTGACAGTTGGTCCATGCTTAACATATTGATAGATATATTGTGTCAAACTTTCGCTGTGAGCAATTGATCGTTTTAATCTTGAATAAAGGTGGGAAGTATTAAAAAACTATTTTCAAAGTGAGTGCTGTGTTGCAGGAACTTTGCGACAATTGAGAAGACTATTTAATAATAATAATAGTAATAATAATAATAAATGACTTTATTGAATACAACAAATAATCTTTTTACAAAGGTACTTTAGAAAAAAATACAGAATACATTGCCTAATATTGGCGCAAGTCTAGCTTAAAGCTACTCTACTGAACTAAAATAGGACAAACAAAAATAATACTAGTAATAAGTCTTCAAACAACAATACAGAATAATCATAATAATAATCCCGTGTTAACAGTAAATAGACTGAAAGTAAATTAAAAATTCAAAAAGGTATTAATTAATACTGTAAAATTTGGTTACTGGTTACTATAACATTTGCTTGACATATTTTTTCTACTTATATACCTATATTATAAACTTCAATCTCTATTCTAAAAAAGTTTGTTCAGATTTGTATTTAGCAAATATTTCTTATATCGTATTTTGAAACTTGAAAGAGAAAGATTAAGGAACTGGTTGGGAATTGAATTAAATTGTTTAACAGCATTGTATGAGAATGATCATTGAAACAATGCACTACTATGAAGCGGCATAGTTAATTTTTTTAAATATCTTACATTTAGATATATCATGAACAGAATGTCGGAAAATTAAGCGCTCTCTTATAGAATCAGGTGAACCTGGAGTGTTTATAATTTTTAATAAAAAACTAGAAAAATGGAGAGTGCGACGCTCATTCATTTTAAGCCACTTAATTTCTTTATACAAATGAGATATATGATCAAACCTACGCAGACCATAGATAAACCTGAGGCACGCATTTTGCACCTTCTGAATTCGTCCTCTACTTGCCTGATCTAAGCAAAACCCATAGACAAAGTAGCAATAATTGAAATTGGAAAGAATTAGGTGATCTGTTTAGTATGTGTCTGTTATTATACAAAAATTTTAGAGAACAAAATGATTTTTGCATAAAGATTTTTTAGGTGATCCTTAAATGTAAGCTGAGAATCTAAAACTATACCGAGATTTTTTGGACTTTCAACAAAATTCAATTTTGAATTATTAGCTATTATACTGAGATTAGCTTTCAAAAACTCAGTCTTAGATTTGTTACCAAAAATCATTACATGCGATTTGGTCGGAGTGAAGCTCCGTCCGCGATTGTTATACGAAAATTCGTGAAGAAGGTTCGTGAAACTGACCTGCTTATGGATAACAGAAGGTGTGAGTGTGTGCGACGCGTACGTACAGCCGAAAACATTGCTGCTGTTGCCCAGAGTGTGCGTGAAAACGCAAGTATGTCAACTCGTCGCAGAGCATCAGTCGCACTTCTGTGCGGAGAATATTGCATAATGACCTGGGATTATTTCCTTACAAGGTGCAACTTGTGCAAGAATTGAAACAAAATGACTATCCGCTTCGATATCGTTTCTCTGTGGGCTCTAAATCAATTGGAAACGGACGTCAATTTTTTTGGAGACGTTCATTGGCCGGGCTGCAGCTGTGATTTTAAGCCCATGGATTACTTCCTATGGCGTACTGTTACACTAACGATCCTCAAACAATTGATGTTCTTAAGGAAAATATCCGTCGAGCTATCGAAATAGACCCACAAACTATTGAAAATGTGCTTCAAAATTGGGATAAGAGGATGTCCTACTGTCAGGCCAACCGCGGCAGCCATTTAACTGAAATTGTTCTTCATAAATAATCGGAAGGTGCATTCTTTTGAATAAAGTATCGAGTGCTACATATTATTGAAGAGTATTGTTTTAATATCAATTTAAAAAAGAAACCAACGGATGGCCCAGCCTTTAGAAAACAGTTTCAAAGAAAAGTTGTAGGGCTTAGAGGGAAAATACTCACTTGATTTTGGGATGACCATGAAGGTCGTAGTCTAGTACATTGTCAAGGTCATCATCATTTTCTTCCCTCGAGACCCTACAACCTTTGTCTGAAGCTTTTTTCTATAATGAGCAGCTTTCGAAACATGAATGGTGGGGAGATTAAAATGAGACATTATCCGGTTTTTGAACTATTCGCGAGATCCTTATTACAATTCATTC